AAACTCTCAGACTGAAGAAGTCTCTTGGAGGAGAGACGAAACGTTTCTTTAGAGAAGAACCCGTCCAGAGGACCTATACAATTTTTTTTTCTTTTTGATGTTTTCTTTGACTTTTTGTATTTGAAGGACATGTCACAGGCACTTTAAAACGTTATATTTCTTCATTTCAACTCCTCCTGCTCAGGTGTCTCTGCACTCACAGCCATGTTGACACAGGTGAGGGTAAATTTCTACCGTAGGCCAACTTCACATCGTTTCTACCGACTATCGGATGTACCACTTAGCCCTGCTCTGAGTCTGTAAAACTCAGCTGAATCGACAGTTAAACAGCCGAGGCTCTGGGTGAAAACAAATGTCATCTGAAAGTGTCAGAAACCATCCAGATGCTCACTTTGCCCACCAGACTGAGAGAGAAAACCCTGAGCAGTCCTTTGAGTTTCGCTAAGAGGTTAGAGATTTTAAAGCTCAGGGTTTTTTTAAATAATGTGTTAAAAGTAAAAAAAGGAAACTCCATAAAGAAGCGAGGAAAAGGTGAGCTGAGTTCAGGTTATTTTCTCCGTTTGAAGTGCAAGAAGAATCGACTTCAAAGTGAAGCCAAATTAAGTGTGGAGCCCGCCTCCCCCCTCACGTGTTTCAGTGATTTTAGCCTCCATCAGGGCATCGCTACTGGACTCTTTATCTCTCTGCTTCAGCAGGACCTCAATTTCTGCAGAAGTTTAACCTTATTACAGCTCCGACCGCTCTCTACCGGACGAGGGATGCTCGGGTGGAGCGTGGGGCTCGCTTTACGCCAGAGGACGGAGGATGTCTTTTTAAATAAAGGAGCCGGAGCGTCCTCCCCGCTCTGGAGTCCTCACATCAGCAGAGCGCCGGCGAGCGTAGACCCCGTCTGTGAAAGAGTGAATCGATGAGAAGCAGAGGTGGAAGAACAATAAGAGAAGGAGATTTATAACAGCACGTGTCAGAGCTGGGACAGAGGCAACAAAAGACTGGAAAAAAGAATTCGCAAGAGTCTTAAAGTGTCTGTGATGTCAAATTTTTTGTATTAAATATGAATGCATTTTTAGAAAGAGGACATTGATAAAATATTGCAAAATAAATTTCATGTCGCTGAGATGAACAGTTCTTGAGATATTTGCCTGTGAAGTAACAGGAAGTGATGTCACAGGGGAATGCCTGCATGTAAACGTAGCGTAGCTACAACAGCTGACAACTGTAGAGAAGAATCTGTTTCTTAAAATTATTTTGAGTCACTATCAGAGTTACGAGTCAGAGTTCAAATATTGTTTCAGTAAACTAAAACTAGAGAGTTTTATTTAAGAGTTCCCCTTTGATGTCACTTCCTGTATCACTTTGGTTGAGCTAGGTTTAAAAGAAAATATGCCAGTTATGGGACAAAATGGGTTAAATCGTGTGTATTATTTCAACTTTCTTAAAGTGCCTGTGACATGCTTATCCTTCAAATACAAAAAGTCAAAGAAAAAATCTTTATACTTAATAAAATTTTCTTTTAAATTTGGCTCAGCCAAAGTGAAACAGGAAGTGACATCAAAGGGGAACTCATTATTATTAAAATAAACTCGCTGGTCTTGGTGTATTAAAACAAAATTGTTTTTAACTTTAACTCTTCTTCGTCTCTCTTTGATGACTAAAAATAATCTAAAGAAACATCAGATTGTTCTCTACAGTCTGTTGTTAGCTTTTGTAACAACGCGCTTGTTTACATGCWGACATTCCCCTTTGACATCACTTCCTGTTTCTTCACATGCAAATATCTCAACAACTGTTCATCTCAGTGACGTGAAATTTGTTTTGCAGTATGTTATCAACGTTATCTTTCCAAAAATGCATTCATGTTTATAACAAAAATGTGATATCACAGGCACCTTTAAGTTTGTCTAATGTGTGAATGAATGGAAATGACCCGATCTAATTATTTTTCCTCTCCTCTCCTTCAGACGTGGCTGCAGAGGTACGGCTACCTTCCTTCTGCAGACCCCAGGATGTCGGTGCTGCGTTCTGCCAGAGTCATGCAGTCTGCTATCGCTGCCATGCAGCGCCGCTACGGCCTCAACGTCACGGGGAACCTGGACACCAACACCATAGAGTGAGTTTCACTTTACCACATTACCTCCATCCAGCGCGTACTTCGCTGCTTGTAACAGACTGACTGAGAGCATCGTGGATTCTCAGCTGAGTACATTTGTTTCCCTGGAGGACAGTTTGTTGTAGCAGATAATGTTGCTTCAGTCTGCATTTTCTGGCTTTCCTCGTACTCAGGTTTATGGCGGTCTTTCAGGTGATTAAACAAGTTTGTAGTATTAGCGCTAGCTCTGCATTAGTGTTAGCTTTATCTTAGCATTAGCATAGCTCTTCATTCTGCTTTAGCTCCATGTTAACATGGGTGTTTACTCACCTCCATGTTAGCATTAATGTGAGCTCCATGTTAGCGGTAACTGCCTGTTAGCTCCAAGTTGACATTGGTTTATCTCCATGTTCATGTTATCTTCACGTTTGCATTAGTGATAGCTCTACATTAGCGTTAGCGCTATGTTAGCATTAATATAGCTCTGCATTCTGCTTTAGCTCCACATTAGTGTCAGTTCTATGTTAGCATTAACGTTAGCTCCACATTAGCATTGGTGTAGCTCCCTGTTAGTGTTATCTCAATGTTTACATTAGCTCTACATTAGTATTAGCATTTTTATAGCATTAGCTTAGCTCTGTGTTCATGTTAACTCTACATCATTTGTATAGCTCTGTGTTAGTGTTTGCTCCATATTAGCGCTAGTGCAGCTTTACATTAGCATTACCTTTGTATTGTTGTTAGCTCCATGTTAGCATTAATATAGCTCTGCATTCTGCTTTAGCTCCACATTAATGTCTGTTCCATGTATAATGATAGCTCTGCATTCCGCAGCTCTGCATTTTGTTAGCTCCACATTAGCATTGGTGTAGCTTCCTGTTAGTGTTATCTCAATGTTTACATTAGCTCTACATTAGTATTAGCACCTTTATAGCATTAGTGTTTTGTGTTCATGTTAGCTCTACATCATTTGTATAGCTCTGCGTTAATGTTTGCTTCATATTAGTGCCAGTGTAGTGTTCCATTAGCATTATCTCTGCATTAGTGTTAGCATTAGTATAGCTCTGCATTCTGCTTTAGCTCCACATTAGTGTTAGCTCCACGTTAGCACTGGTGTAGCTCTTTGTTAGTGTTATCTTAACGTTTACATTAGCTCTACATTACTATTAGCATTTTATAGCATTAGCTTAGCTCTGTGTTCATGTTAACTCTACATCATTTGTATAGCTCTGTGTTAGTGTTTGCTCCATATTAGCACTGGTGCAGCTTTACATTAGCATTATCTTTGTATTATTGTTAGCTCCATGTTAGCATTAATATAGCTCTGCATTCTGCTTTAAGCTCCACATTAGTGTTAGCTCCCCGTTAGCACTGGTGTAGCTCCTTGTTAGTGTTATCTTAACGTTTACATTAGCTCTACATTAGTATTAGCACCATGATAGCATTAGCTTTAATTATGTGTTCTTGTTAGCGCTACATTATTTGTGTAGCTCTGCGTTAGCGTAACCTTTATGTTAACATTAGTGTTTGCTTCATGTTTGTTAGCTCCATGATAGTGTTATTGTAATATCTGCGTTAGCATTAATGTTAGCTCTACGTTAGTGTTAGCACCGCTCTGCATTAGCGTAACCTTCATGTTAATATTAGTGTTTGCTTCACGTTAATGTTAGCTCCATGACAGTGTTAGCCTAATCTCTGCGTTAGTGTTAATGTTAGCTCTCACTCTACTCTCAGTAACAAGTTACTTTGAGTTACATTTTACTGACCTGCTCTCATACGTGTCACCATTATCACCTTCAATATCGTTAGTGTCGAGCGCCGTTAAATAAATGTTTTAAACTTATAGATTTGTTGTGTTTGAGTGAGATCACAGAGTTCATGTTCGAGTGAGGATAAAAATAAAAATAATAATAATAATAATAAGACGCTGTCTGTTCAGCTCATGTTTTACATTCTGCAGGCGAGCACAGAGCTCCTAAAGACAGAAAGTCGACTTGACAAAGATTAAGTGGAGTTTTAATTTGATCAAAGGCCGACAGTATTCCTCTGATGTCAGATCAAAGGCAACAAAACGTCCTCAAAGTGAGGGAGCAGGGACCACCTCGGTGGTCAGTCGTGTTTTAGCTCCTGTAAATCCTGAAGGAATATTTGAAAACCAGTCGTTGTGAAGAGAGAAGTACTTTAAGTGCTTTTAAAGCAAAAGTAGCTGAAGTCACGTTAGTTTTTTCACCTGCAGAGCATTAAAACAGACGGTGAAAGACCATCTGTGCCACAGATCAGCAGCTGCAGCGTTCAGCTGACCAGCAGACTAACATGTGTCCAACTGCTGGGCTGAAACAGTCAAATCAAATCTAACAGAATGTCTGTTTTCTTCTCCTCCTGCTGCTCTGGCTCGTAGTGATAACACCATAAGGTGAGCCACTTCCTGCGTGTACTGTCACAGCTACACCTCTTCTACATCCATGATCAAAACATGTTGTTTGTGGCGGCGCATCACACCTGCGTCAGCGCTGACCCTTTCACCTCTCCGTCGACAGGTGGATGAAGAAGCCCAGGTGTGGGGTCCCCGACGAGTCAGGAGGGGCGTCGAAGTTCAGCGTCAGGAAAAGGCGTTTCGCCCTGACGGGCCAGAAGTGGCAACATAAACATATCACATACAGGTTAGTGGGCCAGCTTCTCTGGAGCTTCTCCAGGTCATTTTAATCAGTATCTTACCTGCTGTAGGTGGCTTTTTTATCCAAATCAGTTTGGAGAAACTGAGTCTCAAATTGTTTTATTTGTTTTTAAAAACAGATTCTAAAGAGGAAATATCTTCTGATGTTTTTAATCAAACATACAAAACTCAAGTTTGAGCCTGATGATGTCATAACCCTACATCTAACTGAAGGCATTAGGTTATGATCCATCCATCCACCATCCATCCATCCACCATCCATCTATCCATTATCCATCCATCCTCCATCCATCCACCATCCATCCATCCATCCGTCCATCATCCATCCATCATCCATCATCCATCCATCCATCCATCCTCCATCCATCCACCATCCATCATCCATCCATCCATCCATCCATCCATCATCCATCTTCCCTGGGGTTTTCCTCTCAGCTGGAGTCAATCTTTAACAGATATATGAACAGCCTCAACTGATTCTTTTCTATATAAATAAACATTTGACAATTAAAACAATCATTTTGGAAGAAGTTGTTTGTGTGTCCAAGGATTCAAAGCATCATTAGAAACCTGAGAAACCTCCCTGCAGTTTAAATTCTTTAAACTTTACACTTTTCAGTTCAGAAATCTCCTCAAATTACAAGCAAAACTTCTCCAGTAAAAAAGAAAGTGTAGTTGCTTTTGTGTAAAGTTAAGATATTTGTCAAGTTGTTCTCCACATGCTGTATGTTGGTAACAGACAACACAACGTTTTATTTATCAGATCTAAACTCAACTAGAAATAAAATAACAACAGGTTCATGAGGACTGAAGGAGACGCAGCTCTGTCCTCAACTGAACCTGTTAGGAAAAAAAAAGAGCTTCAGCTTCATGCTGTTAATAATTCAGCAGCTCCTGCTCTGACACACACATACAGGAAGCAATAMATGATAGATCTGAACATATCTGCTGACTGAGTGCCACTAACTCAGATTATCATGTGTTTTTAACAGTTTTTAGCTCCACCTCATGCATGTGTACAAGCAGCATCACACTAAATATAACCCAACAGAGAGCATTTATTCCTGTTTTATTATTTTTAATCCACCTGGGATTGGGTTTAAAATTAGCCCTGTGAGTGAGAGGAAGCAGATGATGAAGAGCGGCTGGCAGGAAGTGAGGAGTTGTTGGAGGAGCAGCTGCAGGGAGGAGGACAGGAGGAGAGAGAGGAAGTCCTGCTGGGAGGCTGAGAGCTTATGCAATGAGTTCGGAGCAGGAGAATCTGCAGCTGAGTGGTGTGAAAATACAGATCTGAAAGTCAAAATAAAAACATTTTTCACGTCACGTTAAGGGTTTTAATTAGAAACAGAGACGCAGCTAATAGTTTGTCTCCAACAGGCTAAAAACAAATGAAAGAAAGCTGCAATAAACAGAAAACAACCTGCTGTGAAGAGATTTCTGCTCTGCAAACCTCCGTCTGTCTGTTTGTGGCTAAAACGATCCTGAAGAAAGCCGCTGTCGTTCACAGAGCCGAAGGACGCTCCGCCTCCACAGGTGTGTGCGTGTAGCTGCATCCAGGCCTCTCTGTGTGACGGCGCTAATTAGCTTCAGCTTCCCCGCGGCTCAGGTGCTATTACTGCTGCCTCTTTATCTGCCTCGCCTTTATAACGGTACCGCTAACCTCAACATATACTGAACCCAAAGACCAATAAGACTCCAGTCTGTCTGACACTGAGCACCGCAGGGTGCCTTGATAGTCTTGAGATTTCCTCACACCCGCAATTTAACTTTTAAAGATATTTAGCTTTTTCTGCCATATTTTTTTCACGTTGATGTTTTGTTGTGATCATTTTAGCCACTATTATGTTCATTTAAGCTCTATTCATTTTAGTTTCTGTTTTGTTCATTTTAGCTTCTTCTCTGTTCATTTTAGCTTATGTTTTGTTCACTTTAGGTACTGTTCTGCTCATTATAGCTTCTGTTCTGCACTTTTTAGCTTCTGTTTTGATCATTTCAGCTTCTGTTTTGTTCATTTTAGCTTCTGTTTTGTTCACTTTAGCTTCTGTTTTGATCATTTTTGCTTCTATTTGTTCATTTTAGCTTCTATTCTGCTTATTTTAGCTTTGGTTTTGATTTGATTTGATTTGATTTATTGATT